GTTGAACTTAAAATATAGTTTCCCAGACGTTATAAAAATATTTGACGACCACAACATTTCATTAAAATTTATTTGCTAAGTAAAATGGCAGAAGACATAGTGGTTTATACTATTACGACTAAAAACCCTGAGTCATATAATTCTATAACAACAAACTTACAAAGTCTCAAGGACGATATTGTAAACTAACCTTAAACACAATGACGACTAAAGCCTGTTTTGCTCTTTTGACACCAGAAGATTTATTGTTGTGAATGGTAAAAAATACTCCTTTGAAGATACTTACTCAGATATACCACCAACAGGTTTTGTTGACTTATTTAATACTTTAAGGACGAGTGTAACATGTGCTGCAACTAGAGCAGGTTTCATTATGTTTGGATGTCCGACTGAGTTTACTATAAACAATATGAGCTATAATACAAAACTTATATCTGGTTTTTACTACCAACAATTTCCTATAACAGGAAAAGGTGTCATACAAGGTTTGTCTATTCCATTGACTTTAAGCACACCAATCTTATATATTGTTTCAAACTTAGGTTCAAAGTGCTATTCGAATGTCGACAGAAACTATTATGACCAAAAGATACTTATGCGTATAAACAATACTTTCTCTGCTGGTTTGCCTATTGTTCATTCGAATGCAGAATTTCAACCTTAGTGAACTCAAACACTTTGGCAAGTATAACGTTGACATTAGTTGACGCAAACTTTGTTCCTGTAAAACTTTTATGTCCTATGTATTTGTCAATGACGGCAGAAGTTTCGAATTGGAAGATGCAACTGGTGTGAAAGTATTGTACTACAAGAACAACTTCAACAAAAATAGCTCAAGAACAACAAATGGAACAAATGCAACAACAAGTCAAGAATAAAAAAAATATTTTTTTTATTTTTATAAAAATGTACAGAATAGATGTTTCAGATTTTTATGACTTCCAAACATTCAGAAATATGTGTCCATTTCGAGACTATAACAAAGCAGTCGAGAATTTGAAACGTTTAGTCATTTATGTTGACTCTGCCCCAGAATGTTATGTCATGAAAGAATGGGATGTTGTCTTTAACAAACCAAGAGCAACAATAGTTTCAGAACAAGAATGTAGACAGAAACTTAAGAAAATAAAAGTTGTACAAGTTGGCATGAAGATGTTAGATGCTTGGGATATTTTATTGTCAAAGTTAGAAGATTTTTCAGTTCGTGGTATAAAGTTCTATACACCTTCTCCAAACTTCTATTCTATCTTCACTGGATATAAATACGAACAAGTAGAATGGAAAGAAAATGTTATAGAAGCTTGGTTAGACCATGTCAAAGAAATTATATGCAATGGAAACGAAAGAGTCTATGAGTATATCTTATGTTGGTTTGCAAACATCTTACAACATCCAAGTGCTAAAAATGAAACTGCTCTCATTATAATTGGAAAACAAGGAACAGGTAAGAACACATTCTTTACAGATATTTTGTGCAAACTGTTAGAAGGTTATTCGAACCCGAATATGACAAACTTAGAAAACATCTGCGGTAAATTTAACTCTTCAATAGAGAATATGAAACTTATAGTATGTAACGAACTTCAAAGTATAGATACAACAAAAGTTTGAACTCAGATGCTTTGAAGAGTCTTATAACAGACAAAGTTGGAGTTGTTGAAAGAAAATATAAAGACCAAAGAGTTTGTGAAAATGTTGCAAATTTCATTATGGTTTCAAACAATGCTGTTCCGATGAAGTTAGAAAGTTCTGACAGAAGATATGTAGTTGTCAGAACGTCAGAAGCTCATATGCAAGATACAGAATATTTTGACGACTTAGCAGAAACTTTGACATCTGACTTTTACAACCACTTGTTCTCATATTTCATGACATTAGATATTTCAAAGTTCATCCAAGACAAATTCCACATACCGAAGAGAGACAAACATTGTTAGAAGCAAAACAAGAGTGTATATGAACTGTTCATAGATGAAACTGACTTTGAGTGTTTAGATGAAAGGTCATTGTACGATTCGTATAAACAATATTGTCAAGAGTATGGTTATATGACAGCGTCTAAACGAACATTCTTGGCAAATGTCAAAAGTCTTTTAGATGTTCAGAATGGTGTATATACAAAAGAAAAATTTTCTGAGTAAATTTTTAAAAAAAAATATTTTTTTTTATCCGATAGAAAAGATGACAAAATTCATCTCAGTCAACAAGTACATGTCAGGACTTAAAGAAGAACTAGACCATTCACATATTTGAATGTTTACTTCTACCATTTTTGAAAAGTCTTCATTCAGCAAAGTTTGGAACATCGAACCAGTTAAGTTTGCTATTGTGACTAAAAATGGTGCGAAATTTGAAGACTTAGACATAGAAGGTTTGTTAGCAGTCAAAGAAAGTTTTGACAGAAGGTTTCTCAAAACTCGAAGAAGGTAAAGCATACAAACTTGTTATACCTTATGAACAAAGAAAGCAGACGACTATGAATATTATATGAGTCTAAAGTTGTAGAAGTTCAAGGTAAATTGGGTAAAAAGATTTTAGAGTCTAAGCCAGTGTTTACTCCTAAAGAGGAAGAGAACATTGACATTGACCCAGAAATGTTCTAAAATAAAATTTTATTTTTACATGTCAAATTTCTTCTTCTCTGGCTCTGGTTCAGGTTCTTTCTTCTCTTCTTCTACTTTCTTTTCTTCTTTTCTCTCTTCTTCTTTTCTGGTGGAGTTATGTCAAACTTCTCAGAACCATATTTTTGTAAAAAGTTCTTTGTCCTTTAATAGCTCTTCTATTCTGTTTTCTATTTCATCTTCAAGAACAGCGCATGTGTCTTCTTTGCATTCTAAGAACTTTTGTTGGACTTCATCTCTCCAAGAGGCGTCATCTCTTCAACAAGTCTGTCATTGACAAATTTTAAGACTGCTCTGCTTAATGTTTTATGGTTCTTGTCATATTCCCAGAAACAGAACTTTAGAACAAATTCACCTTTCTTGTTTACACTATGTAAGATTTTATGGTCTACAGATGTTTTGCTGTCAAAAAGCTTGTCTCGAATATAGATTAGCGAAATCGCTAGACATTTTCTAAAAGATAAAAATTTTAATTTTTCTAAAAATATGTTTAGAAAAAAAGTTTGCTACATTGACAAGAAATTTGAGAATGTTTTTAAACAAGAACAAGAGGAAGTTAGAAAATGCTCAGATAAAACCTATACATGACAAGTTCTTATTTGCTCAGAATGGTATAACAGGTCTAATTGCACCGCCTGGGTCGGGTAAGACTTTCACTTATCTTAAAATGGCTGCACAACAACAAGAACTAGATGAGAAGAACCCATTCTATGAGTTAGTTGTTATTGTAGTACTTCTGGTCAATTTGACCAAACCGTCAATTCGTTCAAAGATATTATTAAAAAAGTCTAAGTTAGTATGTATAAAAGACTCTGAGTTGTTAGATTGGATAAAGAATACCAAAGAAGAGTTTTGAAGTACAATGCTATAAATGAGTATATAAAATTCGAAGTTTAAAGACCCAAATGAGGAAATGCAGAGAATATTAGAGAAGAAACACTTCAGAAACAAACAGAAAGAGATAGAATACATTTCGAAGAAATTGCAATCTTACGATTGGAAGACATACCCTCATAGATGTCTTCTTATTTTAGATGATTTCGCCTCTCATCCTTTGTTAAAGAACAGAGAACAAGACATGTGTCGAATTCTTAAGAAGCTCAGACACTTTAACATCTCAGTTGTCATTTGTGTACAGACAGCAAAGAGTTTAAGTAAGGATGTAAAGAGAATACTTTACTGACATTGTACTTTTCCCGGATTGTCCGAAGACGATTTCATGGAACTTATGAAAGAGTCCATGGCAGGTAAGTTTGACAGACATGAACTATGGGAGAAGTACAAAGTCATACAAGACCCTCATACTTCTTTCAGAATTCATATCTACGCAAACAAAGTTCAAATTGTAAAAGTCAAGCTTGAAAAATAAAGAGTTCATTTACTCTGCTTGTTTGAAGTTGTCAAAATACTCTGTTATTTTTTTCCTTTAACAATGGCAAATCTTCTTTGAAGGTAAGTATTGTACAACCTTTCATATCATAGTGTGTTTGAGGTAACGTATCTTGAACTATTTGTTTCACATCTTCATTTGGGGTCATTGAAATCGGTAAGTTTTCGCGATAGAACCAATTTCTGTCAGATTTGTAAATCTTAGCAAGGTCGTAAAAGCTTTTGTTGTTTCTTCTGACTAAATGCAACATAACCATATCTCTGTCTTCTTCATTTTCCATCTCTTCAGTATAAATCATATACTTATAGTTCTTTTCCTTTCCTTTTGGTACCGAACGTGGTATTCTTTTCTGTATGTTTTTGTCTTCTTTCATCATATCTTCTCTCTGCTTTGTACAAAGTTCGTCAAGTAGCATAAGTATGTAGATTGCATAACGAGGTGAAGCCCACATTGCTATTGAACTAACTAGGAACTTATGAACATATATACCTTTTAGATGTGATGGTAAGTTTTGTCTGTCTTGGTACATCTTTTTAAGTTCTACATGTTCGAACTCACTGAGGAGTTCATGAGTGCTATTTAATTCAAACCAATCGTCTGTATGTTTGGTATCTGGTGCAAAACATGCTGTCAAAATACTTTGCATTTGGTACATGTCATCTTTGACCGAACGAATGAGACGTAACTGTTTGTTATACTGTATGTACTCATATTCTTCATTTATGGCTTCATGAACGATAGCAGTTGTTGTGTTCTCTGTTGTTGACATATCTGTCTTTACATACAAAATAAAAAAAATATTTTATAAAAAACTAGCGTTATTTCCTGACTTTCACAAAAGACCAAAAATAAACGCTTTACATGTATTTTTCAGCAACTTCGTCAAATAATTTTATAGCTTTATCTATCTCATCTACTTCAAACGTTTCTTTACCTTTCGTGGGAGCACCATACATTTTCTCAAACTTTTCAAGTAGTTCTGTTTCAGCAGCTCTCATATCGTTAACAAACACAACCTTGACTCTATTGACTGTACTGTCATATCTTTGAGTTATATTATATGTTCTTCCTATCTTATATCTCTTTGTATTGAAGTCCTTCGGTTTCTGAACGATGTAAAGTAAGCCTTCACTGCAACGTTCCGTATCGAATGAACCATATGTTATGAAGTTATATCCAACAACTGGGTCTAACCATAACAAAACTATTGGTATAAGACTTTTGTCTATAAGATATGCTGTAGTTCCATAGAATCTTACCGATATCATAAGCTCAGGATTTCTTGTCAAAATTTTCTGAGTTGAAGCAATTCCAACCCAATGGTATGTTTTCTTTCCAGATGGAGATAAAATGTCTGACAAAGAATATTTGTTGTATTTCTTTGAGTATCTTACGTTTAAATCACCTATTCTAACCATTTTGGTGTCATTGTCTATCTTTCTAACTGTTTCAAACTCAACCTTTGTCATTTTCTGTTTCTTACATACAAGATAAAAAATATTTTTTTAAAAAAACTAACGTTATTTTTTTATTTTGTATAAAAGATATGATTTCAGGGATTTTTTTTACGAAGTGTCAAAGTTCACTTGGTAAAGAATAACAGTTATATAATGAAATTTGGTCATTTTTTTACGATTTTCATGAGTTTTAGGCGACTACGTTTTTGTCCGTACTCGCTGTTTTTCACGATTTTCATGAGTTTTAGGCGACCCTCGAAAAACCTAGGGTCGCTGTTCTTCACGATTTTCATAGAGTTTTGGCGACTACGTTTTTGTCCCTACTCGCTGTTCTTCACTGTTTTCAGAAAAAAGTCTGTCTCGCTGTTCTTCGCTCAAAAGTTCTTGTGTGCTTTGGTTTTTGAACCAATGTCTGTATGTTTGGTTTCTGAACGATGTAAAGTAAGCCTTCACTGCAACTGCATTTACTAATAGTCTATGTACATACCAACCTCTTAAATTTATTGGCAAATTTTTACGATTTTCGTACGGAATCTCTATCCTCGGTTTTTCGAGGGTAGCAAACATATGAGGAAATTCATGAAATTTGGTCATTTTTTTACGATTTTCATGAGTTTTAGGCGAGTAAGATTTTGTCCCTACTCGCTGTTCTTCACTGTTTTCATGAGTTTTGGCGACCCCGAAAAAAGTCTGGGTCGCTGTTCTTCACGATTTTCATAGAGTTTTAGGCGACCCCGAAAAAAGTCTGGGTCGCTGTTCTTCACTGTTTTCATACGGAATCTCTACCCGCGGTTTTTCGAGGGTCGCAAACATATGAGGAAATTCATGAAATTTGGTCATTTTTTTCAGCAAAAATATATTTTAGGGTAGAAGGTTAGATCTAACCTCTTTTCTAACCTCTTTTCTACCCTCTTGAATTTGTCATGAATTTTCATGAATTTTCATGAATTTTCATGATTTCATCGTAAATGTTTTGTCAAGACTTCTTCGTAATGAGCGTAAATCAGACAAAAATATATTTTAGGGTAGAAGGTTAGATCTAACCTCTTTTCTAACCTCTTTTCTACCCCAGTTATTTTATAAGCGTTTTACATGGTAAACGTTATGAATTCGTGAGACTCTAAACAATTTTGTAGCTTCTATTTCTTCTGTCAGTATGTCAAAAGTTTTCACAATGCCGAAAGTTTCTTTATATTTCTTCTTGACATCTGAAAGAAGGAAATCGTCAGCTGTTGGATAGTTTTTGTTCAGAAATGTCAACATGTCCATTTTATCTTCTGCTGGTTTCTCTGCTTCTTTCTTTAAGTCAGCATAGTCGTTTCTCATTCTTTCTATCTCTTTGACAGAATAGTTATATTTCCTTATTGCTGCTTTACATTTTGAACATTGCGGGTTCATTTTTGCGTTATATTCTGAAACCTTACCTGCTAGTATGACTAAGGCGTCAATGGTTTTCTTTAACTCAAAAGTTGCTGGTTTTATTTTGTTCGTTCCATATTTTACCTCTTCTATCTTTATCTCTTATCTGCCATACACATTCAGCAACTAACGAAACAAAGTTGTCGTAGGTCTTAAACTCCCCAGATTTATATATGTCAGAAACATTCTTATATACCATGTCGCAATCTTTGTCCATGACTTTGTGGTTGCAATGAAATCAAGAAACTCATAGTTTACCTTTCGTATGAACTTCTTTATTTCTACTGATCAGTCTCAGTCCGACTTCTATTTCATCGAATTCAGGAATAGTTAGTTTTTGTTGTTGGATTTCAGGAAGTTTAGGTAGATGGTCAATAATATCCTGCATGTCGTAAAGATACTGTTCATTTTGTTCATCTTTCGCACAACAGTCCAAAGTACTTGTTAAAAGTTCTTGCTTTATCTTCTGGATTTCTGTTTCGAAAGTATATGAAGAAGGAATGAAGTTTTTCATCTCTACTAACATAGATGTTGGATTCATAACTAACGAGTTTGGTGCTGTAGTTGTTTGAATTGCTGTTGTGCCGATTGTTGACATTTCTGTTCTTTTATACAAAATAAAAAAATAAATAAAAATAAAACTAATTTTATTTTTTATTTCGGGAAAATTCATGAAAATTCAAGAGGTTAGAAAAGAGGTTAGATCTAACCTTCTACCCTAAAATATATTTTTGTCTGATTTACGCTCATTGACGATGAAGAAGTCATGAAAATTCAAGAGGGTAGAAAAGAGGTTAGAAAACAGGTTAGATCTAACCTTCTACCCTAAATTATATTTTTGGTGTAAATTTCATGAGTTTTCGAGAGTTTTCTACGATGTTAGAAAAGAGGTTAGAAAACAGGTTAGATCTAACCTTCTACCCTAAAATATATTTTTGCTGAATTCAATAAAAATAAATGGTTCATTTACCACAATATTTTTGTACAAAACGACCCCAAACTTTTAACTTCTTTGCTGCAGCTTCTAATGCTATCTTAGCGAGTTCATAATTTTTCCAACTGCTATACAATATTTTGGAGAAGCCCACATTGCTATATAGTTTACGAGTCTTGGGTCTACATACATTCCTCTAACCTGTTTGATTTCATCCGGAATTCCTGCATGAATTTTGTATAAAAAGCAACCCGCTGTTTTTCGCGGGTTGGTATATTCTTCACAAAATGCTTGTTTTGAGGTCGAGCCACTTTTGGCTCCACCGTATTCTTTCAACCAAAATATATTTTTGTCGAATTCAGCACAAAATTCATGAAAATTCATGAGGTTAGAAAAGAGGTTAGAAAAGAGGTTAGATCTAACCTTCTACCCTAAATTATATTTTTGGGTCATTTACGCTCATTCCGATGAAGAAGTCTTGACAAAACATATACGTTCATGTTTGACAAAACATATACGAAGAAATTCATGAAAATTCATGAAAATTCATGAAAATTCATGAAAATTCAAGAGGGTAGAAAAGAGGTTAGAAAAGAGGTTAGATCTAACCTTCTACCCTAAATTATATTTTTGGGTCATTTACGCTCATTACGATGAAGAAGTCTTGACAAAACATATACGAAGAAATTCATGAAAATTCATGAAAATTCATGAAAATTCATGAAAATTCAAGAGGGTAGAAAAGAGGTTAGAAAAGAGGTTAGATCTAACCTTCTACCCTAAATTATATTTTTGGGTCATTTACGCTCATTACGATGAAGAAGTCTTGACAAAACATATACGAAGAAATTCATGAAAATTCATGAAAATTCATGAAAATTCATGAAAATTCATGAGGGTAGAAAAGAGGTTAGAAAAGAGGTTAGATCTAACCTTCTACCCTAAATTATATTTTTGGGTCATTTACACTCATTACGATGAAGAAGTCTTGACAAAACATTTACGCTCATTACGATGAAGAAGTCTTGACAAAACATATACGAAGAAATTCATGAAAATTCATGAAAATTCATGAAAATTCATGAAAATTCAACGGGTGAGAAAAGAGGTGAAAAAAGAGGTGAGATCGCACCACTTCACCTAAAATATATTTTTCAATACTTTTTCAGCACTTTTCCGTAGTTATATATGAAAGACAATTCGAGATAAAAGTCATAGTACAATGGTATAATATGCTGCACACCATTTGTTGTGAACCAAACTTGAAAGTCAGAGAAACTGTTACTAGGTGGTTCGTAGAATTTAGAAGCAAAGTCATAAAAGTCCTTACCAATACAAAGAAAACTGTTGTTGCTTGAACTGAAACTTGCATGACACATAACATTTTGAGGGTCAAACACGTTTCTATAAACCATCAAATCTGCTGGTGGAAGTATAAATTTAAAAGGACCGTCAGGTGGTAATGGTTCGTTCTGGTTTAGTAACCGAAGAAATTGTGCCCAAGAACGTTTGTCTACTTCCCAAAATAAAAACTCTGTATCTCTTGGAGGGTTAATTTCAATCTTTTGAAATGAAACGGTGGAGTTCATCTTATCGTATTCTAGTTTTAGATAGTACGTTCCATTTAGTAAAGAGTCGTATTTTTCTTGAAATTCCCAATAATATTTGTTTATTTGAGTTTGAAAGTCATTTAGAGTTTTTTCAAGACTTTCGTCTGAACGAACTGTAAAGATTCTCATTTCGTCAAATTTTTCTATTAGACCATCAGAACCTTTATACTGACCGTGAAAATATACTGCAAACATAAACGCGTTAGTTCTATTTGAAAACAAAACTCTTCTAAATCCTATTGCCTTTGCATCTGAAGGACTTTGAAGCCAACGAATTGGATAGTCAAACCTGTATGAACGGGATGAAATTTCTTCATCTGATATATTCCTACCAGCATTTGTAAAGATATAGTCTAACGGTTTTGTATCTGCTACTTTTGTTCTTTGTTTTTCAACCTGAAGCATTTAATATATGTAAAAAAATATTTTTTTTAAAATGGTATGCCATTTCATATTTCTCATCTAACAAACATGTTGTCTGACTGCTTGACGGTTAGGTTGGTATCGTTCGAACTTGACACTTGCAATTCCTTCAATTGCATTCAAAATGTCTGAGTCGGAGTCAACCATTTGTTCTCTCTTTGTAGTCTTGAAAGCGTCAAGAAGTTTTGCGGCTGTTTGTTCATTGCCATATGCATAGTATATGTGACCATCCAAATCTGTTACGGTTAGTCTGAGATTGTGTCCTTTCTTATTTCCGTCTTGAATTGCAGCAAGTACACCCATGAAGCCTTCTTTGTTCTTTCCTTCGTCAAAGTTTACTGTAAAGGTTCGACCAGATGTAATTTGACTTCTAACTTCACGGTACTTCTCATATGCATATCTTGTTCTTTCCATGGGAACATGTGCGGCTTCACCTTTTCCTTTTTTCCTTCTCAAAGGATGCAATTGTTCGTCATGTTTCCAGTAGAATCTGGCAAAGCCGTCGTGTCCTTCAACTTGAGGTTCACTAACATCGAAAGGCATGTCCATAAGACGTTCTTCTTCTAACCTCTCTAGTCTGTTTGGATAATTTGCACGTGCTGTTTCCAAATCCATTTCGTAGCGAA